TAAATCAGTTAGGAAAAAATATCATAATTAGATTTTTAGCAGATATTTATATATCAATATATTATAGATAAACCAATATAAATAACAATAATAGCTTAATGACAATAACAAGCTAGCTTTGATATACAGAATTTAAGTTTTTTGAGATTAATAGGATAACAAATCCCAGTAACTATTATTATAGAAATTTATTGTTAGAATTTTTGTGATATTACTAACAAGAGACCTATTGGAACATGGTATCCCATTTGAAATGAATATAAATACCATATTTTAAATAATCATTTATAACAATTTTAGAAAAATTAAAAAAAATTGAAGAAATATATACTTTCACACAATAATAGATAGTTATTGAGTTAATCTTTACTTCAATATGGAGCTATTCTTGATTACATGCAAAAAATAAATCTAGGATCTGCATTCTTATTGCAGAAAACAAAATCTAATAGTAAACTAATTTTAATTAACTACCAACAATCCAAAAATATAATAAATTGCTTTCTTTTTTTATACTTATTTATACTTAATTTATAAATGCAAAATTTCTTTTGAAATAAATTATATATAACAAGTTTTTGCTAAGAGAAAAATCTGTTTTGAAAGAGTTAAAAATAATAACAGGTCTCGATTTAACTCTCAGATATTCGGTTTCCAACAAATTGCTCTCATAGATGGTTGATAATTATAAGAACCTTGGATTATTTCACGTGCTATTTTGGCATAAAAAAATCTGGCATTTAAGAACTTAAAAAGTTCATTTTATTAAATATATTTTAAAATATTCGACGATAAATATATTGGATATTTAAAAAAAAGAAAAGTTATAGGGAAAGTTATTAAAAAGTTACGATCAATGCAATCGATCCTTGTTTAAATTTTGAATTTAAATATTTATAAAACAAGAAACAAAAAATTCACTGAAAGAATAAACTTTCGTGAACTTTCGAGAAAAATTTATGTAAATTTTAAAATAGTTGAATTTTCTTCTATTTAGATCAAATTCAAGATCTCAATTCAAATCGGTCTTTCAACAGAGAATAATCCAAATGCCATCGAGAATGACGTTTCGAAAGAGTTTTATTGAAAGTAATTCTCGTGGAGAGAGAGAGAGAGAGAGAGAGAAAGAGAAAGATATACTGTTTTATATGAAACTAAACCAGTCTACCATTATTCGTTACTTGACCCAGATAGGAAAAGTAAAGAAAATGGACAAATAAGTTCTGCATGAGTTAAGCGATGTGCACGACGAGGGGAACCATCTCGTTACTTTCGTATTTTTCATATATATTTTATTCTTTACGATTTTGTATTCCTTACAATGTCTCGAAAATGAAGAGATTGTGAAAGCATCGATTGAAGAATAATTTCTAAAAAAAAAAAAAAAAAATGAATTATTTTAATTCTTTTGCAAAGAATCGAATTATATATGGAACAATGAAATTATTGAAATTTATATATTGAATTTTTTAATAATAATAACTTAATACTTGAACGAATATTAAAAAATTATCGAATATAAAATAATAAGATTCTTATTCTCTCGTTAAATAAAATTCTATTTTCTTTTAGAAAAAGATTCTTAAACTTAATACAATAGCTCAATATGTTACAGGTCACTTGGTTTTCGAGTGGCTCTAAGCGATTTGTGCTATTAGCCAAACTATATTAAGCAAGTTCTTCGAACGATCTCAATCTGTCTGAATAATAGAAACGATTTGAAGAATTTTCGCGAACAATTCAATCACCTATTCAAATTTACCCGATTTAATCCCTAATGCATTTTCTTTCGCTCGTTTCTTTTTTCTTTCTTTCCAACGTTGAAAAGAAAAACGATCGAATCAACCTCTCTTAAACGAAATTTTATCTCGGACAAACATAGCTTAAAAAACGTATTCGTTATATCAAACGTTATTTCTTCACCTATCAAACTCCTCAAATTTTACGATACATCACATCTCAAATAAAAATTCCAATTTTTACCTGTGTGTAAATGTCTTCCAGCAAGTGTGATTCCATCAAATCGTACGATTTAAAAAAAAAAAAAACGAAACTAATCATTTCTCGTATCAATCGTCCCGTCTAGCTTAGCTTCTTATTCCATGACGCGGAAGAAAATGTGGGGGAGGAAGAGGATAAGAAGAAAGAGGAAGAGGAGGAGGAGAAAGAGGAGGCAACACCTAGCACGATCGATATAAAATTCAACTATCCTCAAACAAGCGCGTTCCCGAACCATTACTTCGTCCAACAATCTCAACTGCTCCCTTTCAAACGGTTCCAATCTATCCAGAGAAGGAGGAGGAGAGGGGGCTCGAATCTCCGGCCGTTTCATTTACACGCCCGCTCACTCCACCATCGATCCACAACGTTTTCACTACTTTTCGTCCCCGAACGCAGAATCCACGAATCGTTTCACGTGCGCGCGTTTCAGGAAGAGGCTTTTACCGATCTCCTTTTCTCAAACACCAGAGCAGAGCGAGGGGGAGGGAGAGAGAGTTGGGGGGAGTTGGGCCGTCCAACTCTCTTTTCTGTTCCCGTTTCCAATCCGTTTCCATGCATCGATTGTGCCATCGACCGATCTCTTTTTTTTTTCTCTCCCTTCCTCTTCCCGATTTTATCGACGATATTTCGCACAGGCGAAGTGTCAACGGTATATTTCTTTTTTCTCTCTCTCTCTCTCTCTCTTAACACCTTGGAAAATAAAATAGTAGAAGGGAGAGGAGGAGAGAAGAGAGAAAGAGAAAAGAGAAGAGAGAGAGATAGAATGGCGATCACTCTTTGTACGAGAGGATTTGAACAAAAATTCTGTCTGTCTTTTCTCTTCGAGATGGATAGGTACGTGAAGAAAATATTACAAATTTTGCGGACATGATGATTACTTATGCGAAATATTTTTGCAATAATGTATTAGGGTAGAGGGCGGGAGAGGAGGGGAGGGTGTTGGTTGAAGCTTATCTATTTAGGTATATAATTTATGTTTGCGGTGTTGGATAAAGCGAGACAGTGATGGAGTGGGATGGCAGTGTGACAGAGACAGAAGATCTCGCTCTATCTTCATTTTATTTTATTTGACGCAAGTTTACTTGTAAACTTTTCTACAGCGAGTTTTATATTTGTTCAGAATTGGCTCCCTGAAATTATTCCACGAATACATCAACTATCTTATGTAGATATAAGAGGCAATTCGGGTAATAAGAGCTCAGAGTTTAGATAACCTAGTCTTAGAATTCATACAAAAAGTTCTACTGTACGTAGTAGAACAACTTGAATATTAAAGAGAGATGTAGCTTAAAGAATCATAGAATAAAAGAATAATTCATATAGAAATGAGATTAATAAAACTCTATTTAATTAAAAATTTTTCGAGTACAGTTTTCGAGTACAGATACGGAGAATATTGTAATGTATGATGTCTTTTTTTACAGTTTGCTAATATAAGTTATTCTCATGTTATCCGTTTAACGATACATGTTATCCGTTTTAATACTTCAACGTAAATTATAGTTATGGTGATTCGATCTTGTTTTAAAAGTTTCCAATAAATAATTTCCTATAATTGAAACTACGATTATTTAATGAAATAATATCTCCTTTCAAATATAAGTCATCGATCACTCAAGAAATTCAAATCATTCTTAATATCATTAATAACAAACCATCACTCTTCTCCAAAAAAAAAAAGGGGGAGGCAGTTTTCTTTTACTCGAACAAACTTCCAAAAAATCAATGGAAATTTTTTAAAATCGGAATTAAAAATTCAAAGGAAAAATAATATGAACATCTCTCATTTAAAGATAAACATTTTAGATATATTAATCTAAACGTAGAAATCACAATCTCTACGATCAATTGGACATGCACAAAAACGAATCATCAATCAGGTTGTCGAAAATGCAAAGGAGGGCAAGATTGGAGTCAGATGGTGTTCCTTTGAACACGCGTCCGGGAGCGCAGCCCTTTAAAGCTGATTAGCCCATGTTTTATATAAGATTCGATCTAAGTGGATTTACTTAATGCACTTAAAGCGAATCTGACCGCAGCCTTAAGGAGCTTCGGCCACACGCGACACCGCATGGAACAGAGTTTTTCAGATGCTGACACACCGAAACGCGACCCTCGATTCCCTTTCTTAAGATGCTCTACGACTGGCGCCATTGTGCAAATAAGTCG